TGTCTGCAAGGCCAGAGTCATACGCCGCAGGGACGACAAGATGCCACAGGTAGCAACCTCCGACACGTGACTCTGGCCGTGCAGACCGTCTCACGTCAAGCTACCGACCGTCAGGCGGCTCGTCCGTGCCGAGGAGCTCCTGGTGGCACCGGCTGTGTACGAGTTCACCACGCTCTTTGCATCGGTTTTGCCCATCCGGAAGAATTTGATTGCTACACACAAGTAGTCGTCCGAGATCTCGCTTGCCAGCATCGGGCAGCGCCGCCGGCCAGCGAGAAAAGCGCCATGGTGCCAGCCACAAACCATCTTCTGTTGACTGTAGGTGACTCTCCTGCCGTGCTGATGGGTGTGTGGGCTCACACACCACCATTCAAACGACACCGGCCGGCAGTCAGGTCTGCGGCGTGCTTTGAATCTAAGCGCGGGGTTCCCAGCCTCGCCGCGAATCGAGACCACTGGCGAACGTAGCATCAGCAGTACCCAGGTCTCTCCTTGGCGTCGACATACTCTCATCATATTTACACTAGACTAATAATTAATAATAGAGCATGTGGAGGGTGCAGACAAGAGTGCTGTGTGGCGCTACCCCGGCGTGGTCATTGCTCGCTGAGCGCCGGTGCGGTCCGCGCAGCTGCCAAACCAGCGCTTCAAGTGTTAAGTGTTAAACAAGTATCCCCAATTACAATCGTCTTGCTCTTGACTGCCCAGAACAGAACAGCGCTATGCATATTGTAGCTACTCCATACGTTACCCAAACACCAACAGAACGACACAAGAGGCACCGACGAGTTTTTCCCATTCATGCATATTTAGAGAAAATGCGGCGCTATTGCAAGAAAAGCTCTAAGCTTCGTGATGCGAGAGTCCTAAAACGTCGGCTTCAAATCAAGTTCTGTGCGCAGTAGAGGCCGAACTCACGACATCCATATGCACCATGCACATGTTTCTGCCTGTTGCTTTCGAGGGGAGAGCAGACACGAGCTATCATATGCATACTGTAGGAGCTCTGCAAGCGGGGTGTTTGTGTCCACAAGGCCGTGACGCGATGACTTGAAACTCACGGTACAGTACACCAACAACTCCAAGGCACACGACTCGCCTGCTGGATAATGGCCTGCTGCTGCTCTGCTGAAGCCTGCCCATCCATGGTGAAAATACTGCGTGTATCTAGAGAGCTGAGAGAGCAGTGTGCTTGCTTGATAGATCATGGCCCAAGCTACACGCCTGGGCAAGGGGAGACGCAGATTGTATAAATACCGTTATTAAACCTCCTTACCAAGCATCAACCATTCAGCGTACACCCCCACGTTTTCTGCGCTCTGGTGCTCCTGCTGTCCACACTGCACTTCTCTGAGCTCCGCACCCGTCCCTGTGCATTGCTGCCTGCTGCCCAACCAGTGAAGCTGCTGAAAGGGATAGAGAGCCACCATGCCTCTCGATATCAACATGTTTCGGCGGGAACCCGACCTGATTCGGGAATCGCAGAGGAGGCGATTTCAGCCTGTGGAAATTGTGGACGAGGTGAGTCTGTCTGCAGTCTGCAGACAGCAGGAGCTGGGAGGACCAGCAGGAAGTGTGCGCTTGGCTGCGGTTGAACGTCGTTCTCTATGTGGTTTGTGTTGCTGGTTCTCGCGTCTTACCACGTGCATCTTGCAGCAACACGCATGCTGCTTGTACTTACCTCTGGGCCTTTCGAGTGTCAAAGCCTCCTCCGAAATACATCCCCCTTTTCTTCTGCTGTATCGCCTGTTGTTGTGCGGATGCCATACTCCCAAAGCGCTGCATACTGCATACGCGTACCCACCCGCTCCATGAAATGCTTTTGGTAGATATCTACGGGATGTTTGATGTTTGAGATAGAGCTAGCATACATGGCGGTGGAATGTTAGCCATGAAACCTACTACAGCAGTACGACAAGTTAGACTCTCTTCTGTATGTGTGTACAGCAGTAAATGTTGGAATCCAACCTCAGACCTCAGGTAGAGCACCTTACATACAGCAGTAGAGCTTCCTGCTCTACTGCTTTGTGACAAGCCGGCAGTAATTGCCAGTGCTTCAGTTCTGAATACGATGGCTCTCCTGTCATTCGTGTTTTGAGTGCATTCGTGACCCCGCCCCTGTAGCTCGATCTTCCTATCGTTTTCAGTATGCATAAAAGTAGAAGTTTGTCGTAGTAGGTGTCACGATATGACTTGGGATACCACCCCCCCTTGACCGACTGTCATGGCTCGATTGCTGTACACGACGAAGAGGATTCATAAATGAAACAATACATTTTTGGAAAGCATCGACTCCGCCGTTTTTGACGCTCCCACCCTCTCTGCTGTGGAGAAATCGGGCTTGGAAAATCGATCCAGGGGGGGTGGTATCCTGTGTCACCTGCGGTCGAATACGTACGTTCTCCCCACCCCGCTCCACAGCCTCGCGACAGCAGTAGTATACAGCAGTAGAGGCACACATGCGAGTGACTACAATATGTTATGATATGGATACATGCGTGCCCTTTTCATCGGCACGCGCAAAAGTGTGCACAACGGCACAACCTCCTCCGATGGCTGTTGGTGTCTTGTAGCCAGCAAGAGGTTGCACCGGGGGTCTCCACTCGCGACGCCTGACAGCGCTATACAACATCCCTCAGCTTCGATTCTACCAAGGCGTTTGCTGCGGTAGTTTAATAGTAGATGAGTACCGGCAGAGAAACCTGAACGGTTTTTAATGTAAAGACAACATCGAGTTGATGACTTCCCCGTTAAATCAACACCGCTATCCCAGCACGAAAAATTGTGAAGGTTGGCTGTAGCCCTCCCTGAGAAAGAATGGTGCTTATGCATGCCATACGTGACTCCCAAACCTCTAGTGGTACATCCTAGGCTCCTGGTACTTGTCAAAGGGGATGTGTGGAAGTCGTTACACCAGTGAGGATTGAGGGAATCCCGCTTGATGCGGTTTTACTGACACCACGTGATCAGTGACCACGCTCTCAAGTATCGTATGTGGCGTTTGTCGATCGACGATAAACTTGATAAGGGCTCCAGCATGCAGCCTTTTGAGATGGAGTTGGGACAATCTCTAGCTTGCGTAGCACAGGCAGCAGCGGCGTGCTAGACGTGCACGATGCACGAGGCGTGTGTGGCGGGGGAAACACGACCTGTTGCAGGCGATGCCGGCCATCAACGAGAATGTGTGAACAATGGAACGACCGCAACACCGTCAACATCAACCGTTTGCGTATTCTTGACAAGTGATCGATCGGGATACAAAATGGAGGGAAAGTCAGAGTTTGTTGATGGTAAAAATCGCCTTAAGATCGATGCACCCTCAACGTTGTGAGAAATGAAAATGACGGCCATATCAACGTCATCGACAACCCTGTGCGTGCTTCATGACAGGTGATCGACCTGGACACAAAATGGAGGGAGAGCCGCTCTCGCATCGACTTCCTCAACAAGGACAGGAACCGCTACCAGAAGGAGGTGACCAAGGCCAAGAAGGCCGGGGGGGAAGACCCCGAAAACGCGGCGAAGATCAAGGAGGTTGCGAAGGAGGTCAAGATCGTGGAAGCAAAGATGGGTGAGAACGACAGCAGTAGTGTGTGGGTGGGTACTTTATTTTGTGGTGTTGCTCTCTGGTTTGCTGCGTGTGCCAGCCTCCAAGATGTGTTTGTGTTGTTGTCGGGGGCCGTTGGTGTTCGTTGTTGGTAATGGTACGCGTCAAACGAACAGGCTTGTGAGCACTTTGCTTCCGTTTGGTTCGCTTTGAGCGGAAGTGGTCTAGAACGGTGTTGAGGATCCTGTGGATGTGGTCTTAGCCAGATCTAGAATCTTTGCACGTCGATTGTGCCTTGTTTGTTGAGTTGGCCATCCAACAATCGGCCGTCTGTATCGCAAAATGTATGGCTTTGTGCCAAGCGCGATTCAACCATATTCGTAAAAAGTGTTATTTTCTTCCCTCCCTTGCCCCCTCTGTTGTCGCTTTTTCCAGTTGAGCTGACCCAGCAGTTGTCGAGACTTTCGCCCATGGTCGAAAACAATTCAACCATATTCGTAAAATGCATTGTTTTCTTCCCTCCCTCGCCCCCTCTGTTGTCGTTTTTCCAGTTGAGCTTAGCCAGCAGGTGTCGAAGCTCTTGCCGAAGATCGGGAACATCGTAGCCGACGACGTGCCGGTGTCTAACGACGAGGAGAAGGATAACAAGGTGGTCAGCACGTTCGGGCCTACGCCTACGGGGGAGAAGTACATGCACCACCACGAGGTATGTTATGTCTTGGTCTGCAGATAGCGCCACCGCTTCATAACTTGGGCGGTTTGAGAACTTCGTGCCCAACCACGTACCAAACATTAGACCTTACGCACCATTTGTGAGCCCGGATATAACACCCACCGCTAAAAATCTATGTAGCGAAGCCTACATGTGAGCACCCCGCCTCGACTTAAACTGGCGGGCGCTCTATGTATGGAACAAAAAGAATGAGCTTGAAAAACAACATGTCGCAACGATCTGTTGACGATGTGTTTCCGCCCGCATGAGGTGACAGTGTGAGTCGACACGCATGATGTTTGTGTCAATACCGTCCGCATGAACGGCGACCATGTAGGTGGACACGCACTCCTCATCGGCTCCTCACCCTGTACCACGAAATCCCTACCCTATTCCAACACTTCCCGTGCACGCGTCTCGTTCCTCTGTGGTAGGCTTGGGTTCTCTGTTGTAGGCTTGGATTCCAGCATCGCACATCATGTCCGTCTCTCGTTGCGTGATTGAAAAAAGGTGTTGCATCGGATCGGAGGTTATGAGCCAGAGAGGGGGGTGGGGGTGGCAGGACACCGTGCCTACTTCTTGCGCGATGCCGGGTTGCTCCTGAACCAGGCTCTCATCAACTACGGCATCGCGTTTCTTCGGAAGCGGTGAGATTGCCTTTCTTGCTCTGCGTGTGCTGAGTTCCCTGTTTGATGTTGGTGCTGTTGTCCATCTTACCGATACTGTTAGTGGTGACGGTTGATGTCTGACGCAATTCAACGTACGAAGCATACTTTTTTTTTTTCACTTTTGGGCCGCCCTTGTCTTCTTTTTCTGAATCCCACTTTTTTCAGGAACTACTCGGTGCTCCAGCCGCCGTACTTCATGTCGAAAGACGTCATGGCAGGGGTGGCCCAGCTGGAGCAATTCGATGAGGAGCTCTACAAGGTATGGTTGGCGCTTGCTGCTGCTGCTGCTGCTGCTGTAAACGGCGCTATGCATACTGCTACGGTCGGCTGCCGTAGATGCTGTTGCTGTACATGGTGCTATGCAACTGCTACGGTATTGTTGGTGGAGTAGGTATTGTAGATGAAGTGTGGGAGGAGCTGCCGACGTTTGGCATTCAACACGACAGCATATGTGGCGGTTTACCAGTTGCCTTCTAGAAATGCTGGAATGGGGAAGCGATCTGACGGAATGACGAAATAGTTATCTTGTGGATCTACTAGATGATGGTCTGAGAAAGTGATGGAGAGACGATCTGATGGAACGATCAAATAGTGTGTTGGGTGTCTCTAGGGGCCTGCACCAACACACCAACACAAAACCCTCAAGGGTGACACTCCCTTCAACGAGCGCGTCGACTTGTTGGGCAGAGGACGACTGACTCATGAAGCTGTGTGCGTACAGCCACTCCACTCCGCTAATGAAACTTAGGCGTTTTTTTAGGACAAACTAACGCGTTTTTCTTCGTTGAATGACGGGTGTCTGTTTTATACTACGAACGAGTGGAATTTCGGCTCTGCAAGGTACGTCTGTGGCTACTGTTTGTAGTGAAAATTCATTAAAGTCGACGACATTTTACTCATGCGGATACCGAACAGGGAGGAGCTGACTACAGATCAGATATACAGCGTAGTAGCTGACTAGACACGTCTGGTGTCAATGACTGGTGCACGTGACTGATCTTCCCGCAGGTTAGCGGCTCTGGCACCGAGGAAAAGTACCTCATCGCTACCTCGGAGCAGCCAATTTGCGCCTTCCACAAGGGGGAGTGGCTCGGCGAGTCCGAACTTCCTCTAAGGTACGGAGTATAGTACAAGACAATAAGACAATACACTTGTTATCTTTATTTTTATTTGTTGTATTTTCATCGGTTTCCCAGGGCTCTTTTTTCGACCGGACGGTGTGGTAGCTGTCCTTTTCTTTCTATTGTTTTGTTTTCTCTTTCCGAGTGGTTTGTATCCTGTTTTTGTTTTGTTTCCCCACGGCGTCGTATGTGCCGGTTTTTTGCGACCACGGGCTCCCCATTTCTGTGGACTATAGAGCTAATGTGAGAAACAACAACAATACAGTACAATCAATGTATGTATGTACCATAGTACAGTGCAGTGTACAGTATGCACCATAGGTGGTACGGAGTACAATACAATCTATGTTAGTACCATAGGTTGCATCATTTAAATAGATGCCACGACCGTTTTTCGGAGCTCGGTTACTCCGCGGCAGAAGCAGCCAGCGGCGGTTATGGCATTAGATCATTAAGATCCATCTCATCGAGAGCGCTTTCCGAGAACGTATCATTATGTTTTGGCGTACCGTTTGTCTTGGAGTATTGGAGCTTTGGAAGGCATCTCCTCACTCTGCCGCTGAGAACTTTTGCGGCGAGTGTAAGTGTGTGTATAGGAGCGTTATGTTGGTTTGCCACGCATACATACAGACACTCGGGTATGTCGAGGGCGTTGTAAGACTGCGGTGTGCAGGTTTTTGTACTGTTTGTCATTGTTCATTCGTTGAGTTTCGCTTAGGGTTAGGGGCTATTGCAGTCAGGAACGTTAGGTGTGTGGGCTTGGGAAACGTCACACCGCAGCGGGCAACCAACTGTGGGTTAGTCCTGCTTCCTGCTTTTATTTCCGTCTTGCGCATTCCTTGATGGCTCTGCTCTGCTCTCGTCAGCCCCCTCCGGAATATACAGAAACGTTGTGTGTTTTGCCCTCTAGATGAAAGAATGACCACCCGGCGTTGATAGATATGGCCGCACTTGACACATGCCTCATGACTCTTCTCTGTGGTAGAGACGTAGAGATAGATTTGCTGTGTTTTTGCCTGAAAATATTCAAAAGAAAGGACGGGATATTGATATTGCCAGAGCGTGCACGCGGCCAAGTCAAGACTGAACAATGCCGGTTTTGGTATCTTTGTCGGTTACAACACAGATATGGAGGCGTGTCTACCTGCTTCCGCAAGGAGGCCGGAGCGCACGGGAAGGACACATGGGGTATCTTCCGCGTGCACCAGTTCGAGAAGGTTGAGCAGTTCTGCATCTGCGAGGGGGACCTGGAGAAGAGCGCGGCCATGCAAGTCGAGATGGTGAGCATATGCATCACTTGTTGCTGTTGCTGCTGCGCGATAGTAGTAAAGAGTTCGATTTTCCTTTGGAGTATTTCGGTCATGCAGGTCGAGATGGTGAGCATATGTTTATCACTTGTTGCTGCTGCATGATACTGGTAAGAGTCCGGTTGCCCAATATGTAGCTCAACCATGCAGGTCGAGATGGTCAGCGCACCACTTGCTGCTGCTGCTGCGCGATAACGAAGAGTGCAATTGGCAGGACAGCAGTACCGCCATCTAGTTTGTGTGGCTCGACATTTGACCATTTCCTGCTATTCTGCGGCGGCGCTGTTCCTTCTATTGTTTGGGTACTGTACGATACGTTTTGTGGGTTTCAGAGCAAGGCTTCGGAGGAGTTCTACCAGAGCCTTGGGATATCCTACCGGGTGGTGAACATCGTGTCCGGCGAGCTGAACAACGCGGCCATCAAGAAGTACGACCTGGAAGCCTGGTTTCCGGCGTACGAGGAGTTCAGAGAGCTCGTCTCGTGTTCCAACTGCACAGATTACCAGGTACAAGACCATGCACACCGTTTCGAAAGGAGATTACAGTCGTGGTCTCGGTTCAGCGGTCAAAAGTGTCACAAAATGTTAAAACCGCTATTGAGGGCATCGCCGCTAATCCGGATTGGCAGTCATATATTATATCTTGACTACAGAGGCTCAGCCGTGCAACAAGATAGTGGAACCGGGACCACGACTGTATTTGGTACGGTACCCTTGTGTTCGCTTTCGTTTGCCCGTGCTGCGACTGCACAGATTACCATTACCAGCTGCTGTAGGCATACACGCCTTTGCAGCAAACGTGTTTTTTTCAACATATAGAACGGTGATCGCTTTCGTTCGTCTGTGCTCCAACTGCACAAACTACCAACTGCTACACCATAGATTATTTGGTACCATGGTGTTGGCTTTAGGTTTCTCGTGCTTCAACTGCGCAGATTGCCAGGTCGAACGTACATATCTCTGCAATCATTTGTTCATCGTATTTTTTAACGTCAGTGTGTCGATTTCCATTCGGCCTCCGACCGCGAGATCCCGTTTTTTTTTTCTTTTCGCGTTTGAGGGGCGTGTACCGTCGTATTCATTTTTTTGGCAATATTTCGACCAGAAGTGAGATTGGTGGGGGGCATTTAATAGGTATCTGCCTTATTTTTTTCTGTCCCTTGCCCCCCCCCCCCCTCTCTCTCTCTCTCTGCCCCCCGCTCTCTCCGGCCCTCGTTCCTCTCTGTCTTTGTTTTGTTGCTTCATTGTGTTTTGTGCCTTCCCCACCTCTTCTGTTCGTAACATTGCGTTGGCATTGGCGTCTCTCTCGTGCCCAGAGCCGTGGCATGGAGGTGCGCTCCGGCCACAAGAAGATGGGACAGGTGGAGAAGAAGTTCGTGCACATGCTCAACTCTACGCTCTGCGCCACGACCCGGACCATGTCGTGCATCCTCGAGAACTACCAGACCCCCACTGGGGTTACGGTCCCGGAGGCGAGTCGTGCGTTCTTGGCACAAGCAGTAGCCTTGGCAGTTTTTTCGACAAGCTAAACGCGATAAGGCATGCAATCGGGGAACCGGGGTAAGGGTAGTGTCTGCGTACCCCCTCTCTGTTCTACTTCCTCCTGAAATGTATTTCTCGCAGAGGTAGTCCTCATAATAACGCGCCTTCTTTAGCATGGGGTTGCTGTGTCCTAGCTGTTGCTGTGTCCTAGCTGTTGCTGTACACGGTTACTGTACTGTTTTTATGCATCTTTCCAGCTTGCTGTACATGCGTGTCAACAGCAGGGGTTTATTGGCTGACTTTGAAGTCGATGTCGATGTCGATGATCGAATAATTTGCCCTCGGCGGAGCACCGATTCAAGTGATGGAACAACGGAGGTATAACGGAGGTATGGGGGGTGTCCCTCCCTGCCCTACCTCGGACTCGTTCTCACACACAAATCATGATGCACAAAGCTGTTGCATGATTGCATGATGCAGGTACTCGTGCCCTTCATGGGAGGCATCACGTTCCTGGACTACGTCAAGGAGCTGCCCAAGGGAAAACGCGAGGCTAAGGGCGCCACAAAGGGGGGGTACGCCACCTCAGCAAAGAAACCCCCCGCCCCCCCCGCACCCGCACCCGCACCCGCACCCGCACCCGCCGCTGCTAACGGGGGCGCCGCGGAATCTAGTGCTCGTGGGCTGCCGGGTTTGGAGGAGGCCAAGGGGGGCTCTGAGGCTGACGCGATCGCTGACAAGATCACCGCTAAGGTGGGAGAAGAAACCGAATCACTCGTGGTGGTTGCAAAGGGGCCTGTTAGTAGCGAATGAATGTGCCTGTCCTAGGTAGAACCCAGGGAGGATGCAAATAGCTAGATGCAATTTTACGAAAAAAGAGTAGTCTCCGTTGGTGAAGTAGTTGAATCGCCCCTTTCACGGGACTGTGACACACATCGCCTTCACTATATTTGTAGTAGGGTGCTCTCACCGGGCCGATATGTAGTTGTCGAGGTACTGCACCCTGGTGACGTGCATCTTTTGTCCAACCCTGCACCACCCTCTCCCCCCTGCCTTTGTATCTATCACTCGTGGTGATATTTATCTTCACGGGTTTATGACTTAAGCACAAGAGGGGTGTCATCACCTTGCGGTTGGTTGTCAACAAGTGTTGCAGTTATTTGTCGGTCGTTGTTGAGCTCTGAGGCCGTGGGTCCATGCACACCCCCGCGCCAACCTTTTGTCTCGGCCCTTCTCCCCCATTAACCGGCAGGTCTTGAGCACAACAGACCCTTGCGCTTCCCTGTATCGCCCAATTTTTACTGTTGTGTCAAAGCTGTATACCTGCCCAAAACCACCCGCAACGACTTTGTATGCCTAGCTATTTTTCAAGCGACGCATGCGTGCAACAATATGGTACAGGAGTACTGGCAGGATGGTATATTTTTCTGTCTTATTACTTGGAAGCTTTTTGTGGCAGCGCCCCCTTTCCTCTGTCCTCAATGCCATGCACTCTAACGATACCCCCACCCCCTCCTCCTAAACTCCTCCGGGATATGACGCCTGTACAGGGACTGGAGATCCGCGATCTGAAGAAGTCCAAGCCAGACAAGGCCACCCTGAAGCCCCACATCGACACCCTCCTAGCCCTTAAGACGGAGTACAAGGAGAAGACCGGAAAGGATTACGCGCCTCCCCCGGCTGCTGCTGGAGCAGCAGCTCCTCCTGCCGCTGCCAGCAAGGCGGCAGAAGCAGGGGCTGCTGAAAAGGAATCCCCGGCTGCCGCAGCCATCACCGCGAAGATCGTGGCTAAGGTATTAAGTACATGGTATGGTATGGTATGGTATGGTATGGTATGGATCTGTGCTGAGCCATCGCCGCCAAGATCGTGGCTAAGGTATTAAGTACATGGTATGGTATGGTATGGTATGGCATGGTATGGATCTGTGCTGAGCGATCGCCGCCAAGATCGTGGCTAAGGTATCAAGTACATGATATGATATGATATGGAATGGAATGGTATGGTATGGATCTGTGCTGACTAGGTGCGACACGGGACTCCACCTAAAAGCGTGCCAACACACCCACCAACGGTGTAGCAAGTACGATAGTGCCGTGCTCAAAGAAAAATGTGTGCTGGGTCTCCATTTTCCCTTGGATTTTATGTAGTGTGTGTCCCCCTCTCCAGGCCCTCTGGAGGCACCTATAAATAGGTGTGCAGCACACGAGTCAGAAGAAAAATGAATACATTATACACCGCCAATATGTGTCATGCGCGTACCTAACATACCGTATCGCCTCGTTACCGGAAAGCTGTACAAGTAATGAGATTGAGGATCATAGAAAGACGGCTCCCCGCTTGGGGTGCAAGGCTGCGGTACAGGGTTGTCGCGACAAGGATTCAGCAGTCTGTCACTCAAGCCAGTCAGTAGCGCATTGTGATCCGCGTCGCATCATACGCAAATTATTGCGGAAGTGGAGGAGGTGTTTATGTTGGACAACAATAGGCACTACATTCCACACATTCTATGAGACAAAAGGCTCCAGGCTGTCGCTCCATCTTTCGTCTGGTCTAGCTCGGTCTCGCACTTTCCAGTCCTCGCATTGGCGTCTCTGAACTGCTGCTCTTCGTTTTGTTTGTCTTATCTACCCCCATCAAGGGCAGACGAGATCTGACCCTGATCAGTCTCGCAGTTTCCAGCCCTTGCATTGGCGTCTCTGAACTGCTGCCCTTCTGTTTGTTTGTCCTTCCGACCCCCACCGAAGGGGGACGAGATCCGTGAGCTGAAGAAATCCAAGCCCGACAAGGCCACGATCCAGCCGCACATCGACGCTCTGATTGCCCTCAAGACGCAGTACAAGGACGAGACCGGCAAGGCGTACGTTGCACCTGGGGCGACGGCGAATGCCTCTTCCGGCGGCGGGGGGGGCTCGAAGAAGCAGCCGAAAAAGGCACGACATATTCGTTTGTTTTTTGTTGTTGGAGTATCGAAGGATGAGGATGGCAGCAGTGAGAAGAAGAGAAGAGAATTTGATGCACAACGAATATGAGCGGACCATTGTTGCGGTGTGTTGAACTGAACAGGCTTTGATACTTGGAATGTCGAAGGATAAGGATGGCTGCAGTGAGACTAAAGGAATTATCTGGAGAAAATGACCGGGCAAAGGTAAAGGTGTGTTTAGCCTAACAGGGCGAGTTTCTTGCTCCTATTAGTAGGTGTGATACACAAATGATAGCGGGCAAATGTCAAGGGTATCTTAAGCATGACAGGGCGAGGGTGTCTTGTTCGTCGGTGTGGTACAGACAGCGTTCCCCATTTCCGAACGAGCCACCGTGCACGAGGTGGCGCTCTTGTTGTACCGAAGAATGTTAGCTGTAGTCGGAAGATGTTTGGTGCTCGGGCTTGCTACAGATCCCGCGTGTATCCGTCGGGATTTGCATCGATCAAACCCATGAAGTGACACGAAATATGACCTCGCGTTCGCAATTTTTTCTGTCTCTCGTAGGCGCCGGCGCCGGCGGCAGAGCACAACGCTGGCAAGAAGAACAAGGGGGCTGGACCTAAGGCAGGAGGAGGCGGGGGAGGGTCCGTGAGCCGAGGTCTCCCCGCTCCCCCCAAGGTCAAGGGTCCAGTCATGGCGAACGGAAAGCCTCACTTGGAAAACCTCGCACAGCACCTGCTGGCGTTTTCCTACGTATCAGGCGAGTGTTTTTTCGGCGCGTCATGGTTGGAGTTTTTTTTTCTTCACGTTTGTCTGTCTCTGCGCTGGAAGCGACACTACAGTAGTTTAACGAGAAGCCAACGTGTCGCTGTAAGTAAATAATCTCAAAGGGTTTGATGCACCCCTCCCCATGCGACTCGCCGAAAACCTCACGTCACTTCGCGCTTGGTGATGTGCTCCCGTGGTCCGGTGAAAACCCGGCGTGCTCCGATCCGGCTTTTCAGGGATGCGAGGTCCATGGTCTAACGACTACGGCATGCACGGCTATGAGTACCCCCCCCCCCCCCCCACCTGGGGGGTTCTTTTTTCCGTTTTGCCCCTTTTTCGCGGGGGACAGGAAGGAAGGGACCCCCTTTTTTAGCCCGGACGTTCCCCCCTTCAAACCCCAAAAGTCAGCATTGCCCCGGGCCGTTTTTTATTATCGCCCCCCCCCCCCCCCCCCAGGGCCCCTTTTTGGGTTTTTTTTTAAGTTTTAGTTTTTTTTTCCGGGGGGCCCCCCCAAAAGGAAAAATTCCCCTTTTTTAAAAACTTTTGGAAAACCCG